TACAGCACACAGTGAAAATGACACGAATATGACAGTGGGCAAATGCATAAAGCGCAGTATAATTTAAAATCACGAATTTATAGTTTGTCGATCACGCGTCTCCAGTGAAGCTGAACTCTCCTCCTGTCCACATTCAATTCTCACGGCTCGACCGTCACGCAGAGAACATGCGATCATGCAGGTCACATGCACAATTCACAAGATCTCACAACTGGATCCGACTAGTTTGCAAGGTTTTTGAAATTAGATGTTTATTAGACATTCAAAGATTTGTTTAAATTATATAAATGCGTATTTGCTGAATGCTGATGGCAAACAAGAAAGTATTATAATGTTTGCCTTTCTATTACTAATAATATAAAAGCAATCTTTATAATACTTTTTGTATAGATTTTAATTCCTGATCAATAAATCTGATTATTAGACAGATGTATTAGATAATCCATATTAGACAGAACTGAACGACAACAGCGAACAAGAGGGAGAATGTAAGCACTGTGAGCTCAGGCGCTGCCGTTCTCAGCGCCGTCAAAATAAAAGTCCGCTTCGAACGCATCGGCCAAACAGGAAAACTTATCGGCCGATGCCGATATTTAAAAAAATGCCAAATATCGGCCGACCACTAATCATCACTTCATATAAACTCACTTTATTTTCCACAGCTCTGCACCTACCGTTTCTGTACGATGAGGTTAATGTTCCTCAAGGCAACATACTGCAGTTCAGGTTCAGCTGAGAGCAGCGTGACCAAAGGAGGAGCAAGTTTCTTCAGAAGAGTGCCGTAATAGTCTAGATCTTTAGGAAGCATTTCCATGAACTTCATCAGAACCTTCACGGCAGACAGAACCACGGCAGAGTTAGCGTGGGACAGCCGTGGAGTTACACGCTCACAGATACTGTGGGAGGAGAGAGAGAAACATGCTTCAAAAAGGAAAAACTCATCTTTAACAGCAAAAACACACTGGGCAGTTTAATAATGCCTGAATTATGGCTGGTAGAAAATATAAACTGATTTTCCAAACTGCAATCGACATTTGAACAATCCGATACTGATTCTTAAAATGCGGAACTGAATCAACAGTGATTCAAAGCCAACTCTGATCTAATTCAATTCAATTCAATTCAGGTAATCAATGCAGATACTAGGTGACACACTAGATCAGCTTTATTAGTGAAGCTAGCATCTATGTATTATGTAGACTTCATTAGAGGAGTGATGAAATAACATTGCCCTCTGACCTCTGTGACTCGCGGTCATCACGGGGCGTGTAGTTGGCCAGGCAGTCGAGGATGAAGATCTGGCCCCACTCGGTGCACTCATTAAGGGCTGTCAGGAGCTTATTAATTGTCTGAGGGTTCAGGTCCAGAAGGTTGCTGTTAGGATGAGATTCTGCTATCTCGGACAGAGCCGCTACTGCATTTGCTACCACCTAATGGAGGGGAAAAATTAAACTCAATACAGTGGTAGTGTGTGTGATGGGTCTCAAGTTTCGCACAACAATAGCATGTAATTACACACCATGGAGACTAAGAGAGAGCTAAATGGCACTGGCAAGCCCACAGATGCCCTTAAAACAAACATAAGTGCGTGGGCAAGTGAATTAGCACGAGTACAGATGCACTCAGGGATATTTATCTAAGTTGAGAGATTATTTTTTTGGAATACTGTCAGCATCTAACCAGGACTTGGATTTTATGTTCCTTTCACATGTCAATTATATATCTTAGATTGGTTTTATCTTATTTGGCCATTTGGGTTATAATGCCTCACCATGGGGTTGGAGTCGGAGATCAGGTCTTTCAGGGTGTCCAGGAACCCCTGGTCTTCCACCAGCTGGGCGTTAATGTCATGCAGCTTGGCGACACAAACTGCAGCAGTCTTCCTTACGTAAGGGTCTTCATCTTTCAGACACTTCCTTAGAGGTTCACACAGGTACTCGGTGATCTTGTCCACTCGGATGCAGCCCATGGTGCGCACAGCCAGTGCACGGATCAGAGGGTTTGGGTCCTCACAGTCCTACAGGAGAGAACACATCACCAACACACATTAGACCTAAAATACAGACATTGTCAAAAAAAAAAAAAGATGTTGAAAACATGCTGTTTAATATTTTTTGGTGAAAAAACATTCACATATAAACACATTTACTGCTGGATTCTATGAATGCAAAATTCTAAATAACAGCATTTAAAATATATTTATATTTTAAAATATAAAGGTCTTTGTAACATTATAAATGTCTTTACAGCCACTTTTAAACAATTTATTGTATTTATGTGTGTATTAAATATGAATGTGTACATAAATATATACGAAGCTATCAACTACTAGGCCTATACAGAACAATTAGCTAAGCCAAGTTACAAACATGGCAAAAATACCTTTCTACAAGCTACTACATATTTTCATAAACCAGGTTTCTGTGTGAAACAGCTAAATAAACATATCATATAATGTTTCTGTGAAAGTTATAGAAAATATCGTTTGCACAGAACAAAAGCAATTTAAGTCAATGGAAAAAGTCTCCACCATGAAAAAAAAAAACTACTCAATTAAATTTGCTACTGAAAAGCATCATTTAAAAACTAGCAATGAAAAAAGTCTACTGAGAAAAGTAAATAAACTAATAGCTCTGCTGTTTGTAGCACCACTAAAGTCCAACACTGAGAGACCGATAAAAAAGACTGAAGGACCTGTAAACTTTTTGCTGTGTTTTCTAATTTGCTGTGATGGGCCTTATTGCCTACTTGCTTTAGTCTTCGTCTAGTTAAGTTGCTTCAGTAATGTGTCTCTCGTTCCATTCTCAGGTGTGTGGGAAGCCAGCAAAAACTCATTAGTGCTGATGGAGTGACTGCAATGCAGACTGTATCATCCTATAAAGACTAACTATTCTAGCACTCATAGAGATGAGAGTTTCTCTGCTGCTAGGCTTATGTCATGCCTTTTAAGAACTTCACAGTCCGGAGTAGGAATTTCATCTGTCTAAACTTCAGAGCGTGTTTTATAATCCATAGGATATTTTACAGTTGTTTTGCATTGAAAAGTAAATGAATATCTCAATCTATATCTACTTCCTGTGCAAATTGTATGATAAAATATTAAAAATACTATCAGTTGTTTCGTCTGAACTGTACCTTCACAAAGGTGTTGACTGCCATAATGGCCATGTCCGGCTGGCTCTTGGCATAATTCATCAAGTACAGATAGACCAGCTTCTTCAGCTCCAGATTATCCGTCTGCATGCAGTTCACAACATCAGGAAACAGAGCACTGGAAACAAAAATATTAAGATCAGAACTCCATAAACTCATGCCGTACCAATGGAAACACGGGATGGATGACATACAGAGTAGTATATAAAACAGTGAGACATTCATATAAATGTTGCATACTTGTCTTACCTGACATCTTTTCCCACTGTCATAGACGCAATGACCTTCTTCACTGCCTCCTTCTTCTTCTCTTTCTTATCACTGTTGAGCTCTGCCTTCAGCTCAAAGATCTCCCCTAAACAGCCCGACACACAAGAATTTATGAATTTTAGATCACAACTAGAGCATGAAAATAATGTGCAAGTCTAGACAGCCAGTATTAGAGAAGTTGTTTACCTTATGTAATAAAAGAGAAAATAATCATAATTCTGTGTAAAGTGTTTTTCTTGGCTTTGACCAAGTATTGTGTGCAGCTCTATTTGCAGTTAAAATACTCTGTTCTGGCACAATCATGTGCCTGCAAGTGTCTAATCCAAATAAAGCCAGAACTCCAAATCTCATTTAGACTGCAGTTAAATAAGACTACACAATATTAGACTTTAGTTTACTGGGTTCTGCGGAAAGAAACAGAGCAGAAATATCGAAGCACTAAATGTTGATTTATTTAACAGTATTTAAATGTGTAATGGTGTAGTGAACTTGATGATCTGCACTGGCCAGAGCAGACACAGTAAATTACTAAATCTCTTTAACATAATGTTATACTAATCCCAAAACTTATCTTTAAAACAAAACGGAAAACATCAGACCTTTCTTGGTAGTGGTGAAATATTTGGAGTCTGTCATCTTGGATCCCAAGCCGCGGTTCTCCTGCAGAAGAGAAATAAGATTCCTAAGCCCATAAGAATAATGTGGAAGAGAATAAAGGCAGGTAGGATACAGAAAAAGTGCAAGCGCAGGGGAATAAGAGGAAGTCAAGTCCCTGTCCTGCTGAAACCTTCCCTGATGTTTCTTACAGATTGTGGAGTGGGGAAAAAGTTGGGCAAAAACACATTGTTAAAGCTTGATGTTCTCTTTCAGTCAGCAAATTATATTCTTTATGTGCAGTGACTGCCCTCTCATGCTCTCTAAATGTGCTGTGAAGAGTTTTCCATTTCCTGTTATTGAACATTAGACTCTCGCCATCACCTGAAAGGTCTTTTAAGAGGAAGAGAAACCTTAGGATACAACAGTATTTTATTTGATTCAGCTGACTTGATGACAAGTTTTTTATTTATATACACTACCATTCAAAAGTCTGGGTTCAGTAAGAATTTGTAATGCTTTTAAAAGAAGTCTCCTATGCCTATCAAAGATCCATTTATTTGGTTAAAAAACAGTAAAAATGTAATAGTGTGAAATATTATTACAATTTAAAACGTTTTTTTTTTTTTGTATTCTACTGTTTTCTATTGTAATTGCTTGTAATTTATTTCTGTGATGCAAAGCTGAACTTTCAGCAGCCATTACTCCAGTCTTCAGTGTCACATGATCATTCTAAAATGCTGATTTGGTGCTTAAGAAACATTTTTTTTATTTATTTTTTTATTATCAGTGTTGGAAAAACCTGTCGCATTTACAGCATTTCTTCTTCCCCAATGACTAACAGCACGAGGCATTTTCATTCTTACAATAAAGAAGCTGCAGAATTATGATCTGTGCACCTTGAATGCCTTGTGTAACATCAGTCCACTAACTCTCCAAATGCATAAATCATTGATCAAGGAATTTGGTATTTCATTACCAAACATACCATATTACTATATTATCATTACACCCCTTTAAAAAAGGCACCATGTTAACTAATTTATAATCATTAGCAATTTAGTAAATCAATAACAATATACATTTGACAGTAAAGGCATTTACAGTATAATGCTATTGCTACAGAAGATTTCTATTTCAAACAAATAGTTATTTTGAACGTTCTATTCACCAAACAACTCTGGAAAAACATGCATCATGGTTTCCACCACATTATTAAGCAAATATTTTTTACATGATTAATAATAAGAAGAAAGGATAATATGGCACTGAAGCATGGAGTAAAGGCTGCTGAAAATTCTGCTTCGCCATCACAGGAATAAATATTAAAACATATGAAATGACATTTTTTACTGTATTTTTATCAATCAAATGCACTTTTGAATGGTAGAGCTAGCTAGACAGCTAGACAGATACCTAGATAGATATATACGATAGATAGATACAGAGTCTGTGTGTAATATTCTGAAAGCTTCTAACACTGTACGAAGACCACATATTCATCAATTCTGTTTTACAGAGATGTGAACTTTACAATAACTATAGCATTTCAGTAACAAAGATTTACAAAGCTTAGCAGTGGTAAACTAAAGCCAAAGGCCGTAGTACTTCAAAGTTGATAACGCAGGCAGGCACATAACAAAGTAATACACAAGAATATATGGAACAGTACACCTCTTTAACTATCCATTAAAAACTATAGCCATTTCAGACAGCTCCCTTTAAAGAAGAATAATAATCTCTGTCGTCAACCTGTGAGGCGGCGTCCCAGCTAATGTCAGTGAAGTACAGATAAAGTAACTGTCAACTGTCAGAGAGCTGACGGACTCCACTGAACGACCGTTAACGTGATGCAGCGCTTGATCTTAAACGATTAACGTTACCAACAACCGTAACATCACAATAACTGGTTAAATATATACGTGGCGCAGCGGTGACTGCAGCAGCTGACAGTCTCACTAGGTAAACCCACAGAGCTAACTAGCAAAACCCATTTATTGCGCCCCGAATCCGACATTTTGAAACTAATTTTCCATTCAGAATTATCCAGGGGTCTTTCTTCTAATCTTAAGAGCGAACTGGACCTTCACTCACACAAAGCTGACTTGCCCACTCCATTTTTGGCGGATGAATGAACCTGCTCGCGGAGATGTAGATAGTCGATGGTGTGCTAGCTAAACGCTAACGGCTAAAGCTTCATGACCTTCTTAATCAGGGCTTATGGGAGCGCAGTTAAGCCTTTAATCTAGCGGACTGTATTACTGTCCAACCACGCAGCGCACAAAGCCATAGATAAGTGGAAATGAGGCACCGTACCTCAGTTAAACCGAGAAATGCTCCTTACCGAAGTGAAGAGTGAGTGTGTACAAGTCGGCCTTCTTCCTTCCCTCCCACCTTACATGGTTTGTCATCATATGATTCACACTTCCGTCTTCCGCCTTCATTAAGGGGACTTTTCTTCTCATGTTACACTGTTGAATGCCCTAAGATTACAGTCAAATATTAATTGGTTTTCAATTTGTATTCATTTAAACATACTAAGAGATTGTATGTTATAGTTATGTCAGCATACATTACAGAATAACCTACCTAATTTGCAATTTATATTCTATTGGAAATTGCAAAACGTTCTATAGATTATTCAGAGTTGTATCCTCACATAACTATATCATAATAAAATCGTCAATTAATGTCTTATTTGACATTTCACGTAATTTCAAGTTTACATTAGCATTTTTCTACTTATCAAGATATCTTGAATATAAATTTTCAGATGCTACATGTTGCCTATTTTTGTCATTATTTCTCTTCTACTGAATTTTGAATCTTCCCTCAATTATTAATTATATATTATTAAAATACTATTATAGTAGGTCATTGTACCCGTCATATGTTTATCTACCAAAGAAGAAATACAAAGCATTTCATCCAAAACATTTTTATTATAAGTATTAAATTAACAGCAATTGGTTTTCAAGGGACAGTGGAACGTTGGTCTTGCAATATTGCTATTCAACACAGACAAATTCCACAATGTCAAGACCTTACATTTCATTGTCACCATTAAAGAAAAACAATCAGCCAAACAAACTGCAGAAATTAAAAGTAAATCAATACACATTCAGATTTAAAATCATCCAACAACCTTTTCATTTACTCAAACCAGAGCATGACACAGATTCAACATGCATTTTGTAGATCGCATCTGAACATCATATTTGCATAATGCAAATCAGACAGGTTCGCTCAAGTAAATAAAACGTGAATCTACACTCTTGTAGTATTGATGTCAATAATGAATAAAGAAAAACAGACCCATCCATGCAATAAATTATAAAAATAAAAAAAAATAAAAATTGCCTAAATTTGATTAGAAACATAATGAATGTCATCACAGAAAATAAACATCTTTCTGTAATTTTTTTTTTGGAAAGCAGAACATAATAAATACAACTGGAGCTCAAAATTAGTTAACTGTAAAGATTACCGAATGTGTAGTGTGTGTATGTGTTTGACTAAAGTGAGAATTAGGCAAAGCAACCATTAATATAATTTGAAAGACCGCAGAGAGCTCTACTGTCCTTACTTATACCTATTTGAGAAATTTAACATTGTCCTAAAGTGTCACAACAGACGTTTAAATGGCAATGAACATAAAAGCAATGTGCAGTGATGCATTCATTGTATTGCAGCTTTTATACAAGAGGTGTTGAGGAGTGTCAATGGCCAAGCTAACAGTAATAGCATATGGTTGCAGTCTTTGAGGCAAAAAAAGAACCCTGAAATCCATTTCCATAAAATCTCCCTCACTTTTTCTGACCCTTTTTGATTCACTAAAACAGCAAACATCAGAACACCTCTCAATAAAACACTTGAGCTCATAAATACACGGCAGTACTGTATAAAGCCCCCGAAAGAGAACATACCAAGAGTAAACAATTCATCCATTCATATAGAAACATACAACATTGTCCCTTTATGATAACAGTTCAGCCACAACCAATCAACAAGGCTTAATAACTTACTCATTTAATATAAATAAACAATCCAATGCCAAATCGATATGTGTGTAGTGTAATTCATTTAAGTGGAGTCAATGTTTTCTCCTATTTTATGCAATGGTGCCTACCAGTACCAATTCAAGATTAGATGTGTATGAAGGTTTAAAAAAAAAACGCTATTTATAAGCACTCACTCAAGTCACACTTTCATGTCACACAAAACATAACCGGTAACAATCAGCGCAACGTAAAAAAAAAAATGTAAATAAAAATTAAAAATTAAAAATCAACCACTTGGTGGCACTATAAAGCTTTAAAAGAAACGTTATGTCTGCCGATGATGACAGTGGAAATATCATTACTTCATAAGCAGTTTTGGACTCAATATGGCTTTTCACAATAAAAGGGCCTGATTTCCTGAATGATTACGATTTCTATACATAGTCTGTAGTGATTTCCATATTTTGAAAACATCCTATTGATGTTTTATATGGCACTATCTTTAATTAAATGTCCTTCATTTCTCACTTGCAGATAAATCAAGCAATTTACTTTAAACAGAGGAACACTCATAAAGCAGGATATTGTTGTCACTGTGACCTTAAACATGTGCGATTGTCTCAGTTAACAATGGGCCAAAACACATGATCCATCCAGTATAACAAACATTCTCTACCTCACACACTCAGACTTAACCACCCAGATACATGCACACACCATCTCTTCATCTCTACTTCACAAACACAGCTTCTCATCCTTACTTTAAGGCAAGAAAATTTGTCAAGGCAACATTCAATAGCAACATTGCATAGCTAAGGCAGAATTACCATACTGAAATAAACAGCATACATTTTGTACATTAATATTAAAGTCAATTAATAATAATTATATTTACATTACACTACCACACATTTAAGCAAATGAACATATGTTACATATATAAACCTATACATTAACCGTATTAGTTTGCACAGAACAAATGAAACGTTTGTCTGCCACGGTGATGTTGCACAGATGTGTGAATTATGTCCTCTCATAAAGGTTTATGAGAGAACCTATTCAACAAGTTGATATGGGCTAAAACAACAGCACAGCCACTTAATTGTATTTCCAATTTGGATAATTTGGATTCCAGATGGAAGTATGGTCAAAACGTCATTTAGGCATTTATCTTCAAATCTGTCATAAAATTACACCAAAATGATTCCAACTTCTTATTATCCAGTATACAGTATACTCTGTATATTACAATTCCCTGATTAAAATAAGATTTTTACACTTCTTTCCACCAAATGAAAACTTAACCAGCTAAAATTTGTTCTGACGGAATGAATTCAAACACAGGTCATGAGGACATTAATAAGGAGCATTAAAAACTACAGATCCCTAAAGGGAAATGCAGTCATTTCCTTTCTCAAACAGAACAAATCTAAGAAGGAAAAATGACTCGAACAAAATTAAACATAGCTCAGATGGTTTATGTACAGTAGCTCTTCAGAACAGGCTATGTTGGTCCAAGATGTCAAGAATAGTGTTGTATGTTCTTAGCCACTTTAGGACACATCTATGCCTCCAGTGAAATGACAGTAAGGATTCCAGCATCCTGCTACATATTGTACACAACAGTCAGATGTGCATTGTCTCTTAGTCTTACAAATGTGCTTTTTTTTTTGCTCTAATCTGACTATAAAGCGGTATATGATGAGAGAAGGTCAGTTGCCTGTGTACATCATCATCATTATCAATCAGACAATCACTACATCCAGGCCTCATTGTCTAGGCTGGACTCTGAAGAATAGGCACACTCTCTAGAGCCCATAGCTGGGGAACGCTGTTGGGGTTGGATGAGGTCAGCAAAGGCCTGATGCAGAGCTTTGTGTGAGCGTTGGTGATTGTTTAAACGTGGAGACTGTGGTGGGGTCTGGAGGGGAGATGAATTGGCAGGAGACTGCTGACAATGATTCCTGTATCGTACAGGTGTAGGGATGCGAGACGGGCTGTTCTCGGGTCTGTTGTCAGTGCGGGGTCTTATCCGCGGCCGCAGTTTGAGCTTGTAGATGGAGGGCACCCTCTCTGCCTTCTTTTGACCTTTCTTGGCACGGAGGATGACTGCGTCTTCTGTATCCCCATTGGCCAGCGATAGAGGAGGAGTGCAAGAACCTTCAGATGGAGGCTCACTCAGACTCAAGCACATGGAGGAGCTCTCACTGGAAGAGTCCTGATAAGAACAGTCATCTAGAGGTGGCGGAGGGGAGGGAAATGACTCGGGAAGTGGCAGGTCAGTATTGTCATATGGCAGGTCCGGGTGATGTTTGGTACTTTGTGGTACGTCGCCCTCCACCCCAGCCCATTCCTCCAGGTCCTGCTGGCTCTCCATTGGCACCTCCATCAAAGGGAGGCTCCCATTGATGTCTTTGGGGAGGCCCACTGACCTCGATAGGCCTGGATTTGAGGCCTCTCCTTCCTCTGTGGAGCTGGAGATGGCGGGGAGCTTACGCAGACCTCCTCCTTTGCCACCCCATCGCTCTCCCTCCAGGAGCCCTCCATTGGGGAGGCCTCCACGAATCTGGCTATGGAGAAGGGCGGGAGGGTCCTCGAGTGCACATGCGCGAGGATTAGTCCGTTTAGACTCTCGCAAATCAGGTAGGACTCCCACCTTACCTCCGATATTAAGAGAAGACGTTGAAGAGTTAGAAGAAGAGTAAGCCGAGTCTGTAACATTAGTGTCACCCGAAGAGTTTGGGAGCACTCCTAAACCTTGTTGGGAGACAGGGAGCTGTAGCGACCTCATTTCCCTCCCAGTGGACGCTTTACCCTGCACAGCCTTGGTTTGTTGCGTGTTGGCCAGGAACTCGGCCTCAAAGCTGCGATATAAGTCTTGCTCCCTTTGAGGGTCCAGACTTGGCAGCAGGTGTAAACTAAAACTACCACTGTCCTCCTGGCTCTCCTGCTGCTGGTTGTAGGGATTTGCCCAACCTTTTTGGTCTCTCCCTGCGGATCGTGCATTGTGTGCTGATCGAGGGGATCGTGGTGGGTGGTGATGACTCGATCGTAGAGAAGAATGTGGAGAGCGCCGCCCTGGCTGTGTGACAGGGGGAAGCAACTTTCGACTCCCAGTGGAAGGTGACCGAGGTGTAGGGGGTCGTGGCGTTCCCATCCCCTTTTTCGCAGGACTTCCGCTGGCACAGCTTTTCACAGGTGAGTTAGAGGCCGAGGAAGATGCTTGTCTCCTGGCCAAACTTCCACTTGTTCTTGAGGATGCTGCGGGCATGTGCTTGGG